CCGCCTCCACCTCTCAAAAGTGCTAAAGTTACAGGTGTGAGCCACTGCATCCAGTCTCAAAAGTCAGTTCTTGAACCTTCTCAGTCTGCCCATGGGGCAACTCTACTGGCTTCCCAAGGAGTCTGGAGAGGCCTCTGACACCTCTAAGGGCACCTCTCCGACTTGCCAGTGATGCTATGACAGTCAGGACAAGGGGATTGTTGGTGAGTGCAATGGAAGCAGCAATGGTAGGCCAAGGTTCAGTGTCTAATAATGTGAACCACAAGCCTGGGGTTCTCAGAACACTCCGAGGCTGGACCTCTCAAGACCCTCCATTAAATACCAATCCTGGGTGTGTCTATAGGACTGCGTGGCTCACACAGGAGATCAAGTGCTGGCCCCACTTCTAGATTTACTCAGGGCTAAGTTCAGGGTCACTCTCTCTCCTCCTATAAGCAGGGTGAGTGTTTTATAGATTTATCGTCTCAAATCTCTCTCCAGCACCCCCATTCTTATCCAGGGGAGATGCTCTCCTATCCTGTGGTCCCATGGTGGCCCCCTGGCAGCTGCAATGGCCTAGGAAACTTCTATACCTTAGCACTCCCATCATCTCCACTCGAAGATATCCCGCACCCAACAGGCACCTCCAGCTATAGCAAATGAAAACATTCAAAGTAAACAATAGGGGCTGGTCGTGGTGGCTCACGCCTATAAACCCCAGCACTTTCGGAGGCCAAGGTAGGTGGATCACTTGAGTTCAAGAGTTTGAGACCAGCCTGGCCAACATGGCAAAACCCCGCCTCTACTAAAAATACAAAAATTAGCTGGGTGTGGTAGCACATGCCTGTAATCCCAGGTACTCGGGTGGCTGAGGCAGGAGAATCATTTGAACCTTGGAGGTAGAGGTTGCAGTGAGTGGAGATTACACCACTGCACTCCAGTCTGGTGACAGAGTGAGACTCCATCTCAAAACAAAAAAACAAAAAACAAACAAAGTAAATAATGGGGAGTCTACAGAAATGCAACTTCAAGACAAGTCCTTGAGCTCCAACTTCTAACTGGATTGCACCCCAAGTTGCTCTAAAGTAGAAATGCTTTTGTTGCCCTTGCTGTAACCAGACCATTCTTTTCAAAATAAAAATCTGATCAGGTGTCCCTGCTTCCTCACATATCCAGCTTGAAGCCTTTTGATGCTGGTAGGATATTAGTATCACCCAAGCCAGCCCACAACAAATATTTCTTGAACTGAAAAATGACTGAAATCCTTAGTTACCACCACCCCTCCTCTCCAGCCTCATCCCACACCACACCCCAACCTCATCTTTCTGCTCCAGACTCAGAGACTTCTTTCAGGCCTCGTTCTTCCCTTTCCCATCCTGCCATGCCCTAGGACTCTCACACTTGCTCTGCCCATGGTCCACAATGGTCTTCCCTCCCTTCGTGGTCCAGTTAACTCATACTCCTCTTCCAGCAATCAGAGGAAGCAACACTTCCTCAAGGAAGCCCTACCTGAATGTCCTCAGAGTCCACCACTCGCCAAGCATTATTTTTTGTGCCCTAGCTTTGTGCCTGGATTATTACGAGCCTCTGAGAACATGTAACTTAAACATAAATCTTAAATATATATGTATGTATGTATATATATATATCTATCTTTTTCTCTCCTCCTTTCGAGACAGAGTCTCACTCTGTTGCCCAGGCTAGAGTGCAGTGGCACATTCTCAGTTCACTGCAACCTCTGCTTCCCAGGCAATTCTCCTGCATTAGCCTCCCGAGGAGCTGGGATTACAGGCATACACCACCACAAACGGCTAATTTTGTATTTTTAGTAGAGATGGGTTTTACCATGTTGGTCAGGCTGGTCTTGAACTCCTGACCTCAGGTGATCCGCCCGCTTCAGCCCCCCAAAGTGCTCGGATTACAGGCATGAGCCAGTGCACCCAGCCCACAACAAATACTTGAACTGAAAAATAAATAAGTAAATATAGCAGAGTAACAGGGAACTCTCTTATACTGCTAGTGGGAGTATAAATTGGCGCTACCACTTTGACCATATCTAGTAATGCTGAAGATGATTATACCCTACAACCCAGAACTTAGCTCCTCGGTATATGCCTCGGAGTAACTCTCCCTCCCATGTGTCCACAAAGAGATTTGTACAGAACGTTCATAGCAGCACTGTTACCAAGGGCAAAAACCAGAAACAACTAAATAGTCATTCTATCAGTCAGGGTCCTTGCAGGAAATAGCTGCCATTCTCAAATTAGGATACTTTTAAAAAGGGTTTAAAAAGGGATACTTGGGGTGGGTTAGGTGGATGAAAACCAGAAGGCAGAGAGTGTAGTAGCCCCAGGATAGAAAAGCAGAACTTGCTGGGCACGGTGGCTCATGCCTGTAATCCCAGCACTTTGGGAGGCCGAGGTGGGTGATCACCTGAGGTCAGAGTTTGAGACCAGCCTGACCAACATGGAGAAACCCTGTCTCTACTAAAAATACAAAATTAGCAGTGTGTGATGGCGCATGCCTGTAATCCCAGCTACTCAGGAACGCTGAGGCAGGAGAATTGCTTGAACCCAGGAGGCAGAGGTTGCAGTGAGCAGATTGTACCATTGCACTCTGGCATGCACGACAAGAGCAAAACTCCATCTCAAAAAAAAAAAAAAAAAAAG